AAATGTATAATGATGATTTAACTGAGACTATCTGCCAATATCAAAAAGGTATGAGATGTTATTTCCAAAGATACAATTATCAATTACAATAATGGCTTTTCTGCCTGATCAGAAATAATATAGGCTAGAATGATAACATAAATGATTGTGCTTATTGGTTTTGAGTTTTGTATTATTTTCAAACAGATATCAAAGTCATCCCAAACTAGTATAAGGTTAATAAACCTTATTTGCTTAATTTTTCCTTAATCTTTATTTATTTCAAATCTCTTACTTGCTCATTTTTAGAATGGAAGAAACAAACTTTATACAGATATAAACACATTTGATATTACTTTAAAAATAACAAAGTGTTTAAAAAAAATTTAAAATTAAATTATCAATCCTCCTCATTTGACAGTACATAAAATTAATAAAAATCTTTATCAAAATAGCACTCGTTTTCCTAAATAGATATTTCTGTGTTTATCAAACTAGTCAGTCCTCCTCTACAACTGTTTCAATGTTCTATGTAAGACTTATGTGAATTCATAAAACACCACAATCTTACTACTAACTCCAGAAGTGAGGAGTAGATGCATAAAGATGAAAGTCAAAATAAATTTTCATGCAGTTTGGAAGTTTTTAAGTTCAAGTAATTATAAAAAAGTTAAAAAAGTTAATAAAGTTGTTTTTTTTTCTTATATTAGTTTAAAGTTTTCATTCTTTATCCAAAGGGATCTTAAAAACATGTGAATTCAGAGTCAACTTAATATTTTTATAGAAAAGTAGCACTGATTACAAGATTAGCTAAAAATGTTCGTTAATTTATCAATCAGTTTGCTGAAGTACTAAAGATTTGCAATTCTTTTGTTTCTATATCATAAACTTTTAATAAAAATTATTGATTAATTTTCATTAAAATAATGTTTAAATATCAGTAAAAAAAATAAATCATTAATTATACAAAGCAATAAAGGGCAGTATATGAGTTATAAAAGAAATAATTTTCATATTTATGTGTATTTACCTAAAACTTTAGTGACAATAACACTTAAAAATTCATCAAAAGCTTTTTTAGTATTACTGAGATTGTAAAAAGAAACTATTGTTGATAAAAGAACAAATTTCTAAATATAAGAAAACATCTTAATTTTTTCTAAATATAAGAACAATCTTAATTTAAATATAAGAAAAATCTTAATTTTAATTTTAAAGATTATTAAGTCATTGTATATAGTTAAATCTATCTTCTAAATACTAAATATATTTAAGTATTAAAGCTATATTTTCATGAAGTTTATATCCAGCAGAATTAAGAAATGAAAACAAAATTATTCTTAAATATTTTAAGTGTATACTGCTTTAATAACAGAAAGCAAATATTTCAATTAACAAAACAAATCAGAAAATACCAATTTTTTAAAAGAATTGAATCTTCAAAAAAGATTTCATTTCTTTTAGGGATATTTTATTTGAGCATATTCTTGTTATCTTAAGCTTTGAATTAAAAAATTGGTATTTTCTGATTTGTTTCTTTGAGCTAATTTTATAATTTATAGTTTAAACCATAAAAAGATTTTTAGCATTAAGTATGCAAAACTATTTAACAAGACTTTTTATTTTTATACTTTAATAAATGTTAAATGTGAAATTTTTATATTAATCATAAAAATTAAATTTGAGTTTAAATTTTGAGTACTGTTGTAAGAACAAGTTTCACAGATTTTGGTTTGCATATTTCATATGAATGATATTTGTAGAATAGAAAATTAGAAATTTAATTTCAGTGAGCATAAATTTTGTTCTGGAATCATTCTGATACATCAATAAATAATTGTTAATTATCTGAATTATATTTCTTCAGTATTTTAAATAGTTATAATATTCAGTTTGACATTATTTTAATAGATATACTCACTATGAAAAGATAATTCTAAATTTGCAAATAATTTCAACATAAAATTGTCTGCATATTCCAAAATGATAAACTGAGTTAAAGCATAAATTAGAATATATATCCAAAATATAAAATTGAATAGTAATTGAATAACTTGATGAAAATCTCAATCTAAAATATACACAAAAATTTATGCTAAAAAATCTCAGCTTTGGAAAAATTCAGATATTAACAAAATCACATAGCATTGCTTGGGACTAATAAATAAAATACTAATGTAACTGACAAGCAAAAATGACTAAAAATATAATTTGTCACTTTGAGGTTACTATCCCATAATACATGTAGATTATTAATAATCTTCATATATTCTTAATAACTAGAATATACAGTATATCACAATATATCAACTTTCTTGTAAACTAGAATATTCTGGACAAAAAAGTGAAAATTTTCATATCCTAGAGTGTTATATTAGATTTATGCTAAATTTTATGTTTACTATCTAAGTTCTAGGACATACATAAATTAAAGTAACTTGGACACAAACTATTAGATACTTTTATTTTTTAAAAATTGTAACTTATTGAATTATTACAAAATACAGAAAGTATGTCTTACAGCTGAACATTCCATTTAAATGCATAAAAATTAGATCTCAATAATATGCACAAGAATATGCAGTATTAGTCACTAATATTATTTCACAAGACATATACAGTAGACACTCATTAATCGGGCACACACTGAAAAATAACTGATAATCCAGAATTGTATAATAATAATAATCCAGTGTGCTAGTATTCCACAAATTTGAATCTGCACATATGACACGTAAAGATACCGGGTAATAACATGTTCATTAACATATTTGTAGTTTTTCAAACTTAGTATAGTCATACACCACTATTTTTTATCCAAATACTTTATAAAAGTCACAAAAGGTTTTGTGACTTTTATAAAGTAATTAAAGATATTTGACACATAATGAAGAAAAATCTAAAACAAAAGATTTCTAGGAACAGATTAATTTGGTGAATTAACACACCAAAACAGTTAGCAGAAATGGAAAATGATTTAAGACATTTTATAACTAATACTTGTAGTAGTAATTCCTCCAATACTAGGTAGCATACCACGCAGCAATTATCTTCCATCGAATTTGATCATTGGTGAGGTTTCAGCTTCCAACCAAGTCATATTGAGCATCTTTAAATCTTGAAGAAAAGTTCTACACCAAGTATTCCTGGGGCATCCTTGTGGACATTTGGCACAAGGGGAACCCATTTCATGGTTATCTTAGAAATCCTATTGTTCTCCATATGAAAAATGTGGCTGGCCAGTCGGACTCTTCTATGGACGACTATGTTATGAAATTTGCACATTCCGCTCCTTCAGAGAACCTCTTCATTGGTGATATGATCTAAATATCAGATCTTTAGGATTCATTGTAGACATCTCTGTTGGAAGACATCAAGCCTTCTGTTGATGTTTCCTGATGTCTTCCAGGACTCACTAGCATAAACAGCTATCAGAATCACAATGGACGTGAACAGGTGGAATTTGATTCTCAATGAGAAGGATGGTGAAGACCAGATTTTGTTCATCAATCAGAAGACTTGCTATTTTTCCAATGTGGCACTTCACATCCATTTCTGTGTCACCATTTTGGGAAATAACACTACCCAAGTAGGTAAATCTCTCCATCTTCTCCAATTGTTGTGCTCCAACAATTACTCCCAGTGTTTGGGCAGTGTTACATACATGCATAATTTTCATCTTCACAGCATTTATCCTGAGGTCAACTTAACTAATACTTGTACATTATAAAATTTTGTAAAAATTAAATAAACTAAAAGCTTAAATGAATTTGAAACCATAATTGATTAATACATGTCTTGCATCAACCATATCACACTTGTGTCTAGGAGTAACTATACATTTGGGCACTTGGGACACATGCCCCCACTTTTGTCTAATTACCCTTTTCCTAATTCCTAAGGGAACCCCAAATTCTATGATCAACAAACAACAGAAAATTTATGACTTCTAGCCATTTCTAAAAGTATTATAAAAAGTAATGAACAATATTTATCCATTGTCCCATGTAACTATTTTTATACAGTTATTTGTTTGTGGTATGTTAACCAAAACCATATTCCTTGTTTTCAAGGCCAAGTTGTGGGAGTGCTTATCTAATGTTGAATCAAAGTTTGAAGCTTCTTGAATAATATACAATGCCCTCTTTTATAGTTTATGCCTCTCCTTCTTTTTAGAGTCTGTGGGCACTGTTGCTTGTCCTAGTTTTACCATTAATTAATTAAATTAAACAGTGAAAGTACATTTAGAACAGATAATCAGATAAAAGTGGCCTCATCAAAACTGCGTGAAAGAAAGTCTAAAAACCTTGATGACAATCATCTTAAATGACCCATCAATTTTTAGTTTCCAAATGTAAAGCTGTTTGAAGCATTTGAAAGAAGAAATAATTTTTTTTAATCTTTGTAGCATTCTTATCTACTATGAAACAGTGAACCTTAGTGTTTCAATTTCAGGGGACCTTTGTGAAATGGTGGTGCGACAGTTGGAGAACGAGGTCCTTATCTACTATACTTTAAATTAAGATTAGTATTATTGTAAGTAAGCAATCTAAATCAAACTTGACCATAAATATGTTTTTTAATTATGTAAAGTCAATCACTATCAGGAAATAAATTTTTTTAATTTGATGGTTCATAATTGTTTGTACGTTACTCACATTCCTATGATCCATGAGTGAAAATGACTCAGAATATTTTAGGTTTAATGTGAGTCCTGGGGCCGTATTCTGAGGTACATCTCTCACAAGCTGATCGCTGATTGGCTAATCATTTGTTTATGTCTCAAGAGATCATTGCGTCTCTCTAAACACTATTCTGGACAACTTTTTCTCTCTTCTCTTCTCTCGTTTATCAGAGACGAGCGGATAGTTGTCTTTCAACTGTCTGTTCATCTTTTGCCTCAATTTTGTTATATCCAATATGGATGACTGGATGATACTCGCACTGTACAATCGTATTAAAGAACATTCTCTATCTCGGGAAAGAATATTTCAAGAGAGAAAATACTTCTGATTTTTTTCCAGTGCCTACTCGGAAACGCCGATGATTCCATATTTTTTTTTTTTTTTTAATTATCCTACATCAATTACTGAACTTCGAATATGATGTTAATCTTACTTAGATAGTTAAAGAGAAATTAGATGGTAATATTTCAAAAAATATCTAAGAACTCATGCTTTTCTAACTTAAGTTATTAAAATTTTTATTTGTTAAGAGACAAATTGACTTTATAATCTGTAAAAACATTATAAAACAAAAGACATACATTTGTGAAAATTACGTGCTTTATTTGAACATGTGCTTTCCTTGCCTCGTGTCCTATGATTACATACTCTGCATTTTCGAAAATTTTATAATGTCATTGGTTAAAATTCTATATCGTGTTGCACACGCAAATAACCCGAACATGTATAATCAATCTAGTAGTATTGTGATGTCATTAACGAAGATGAGATCGTTAAAAGTGACCAGAATTGCCACTGTCTATGAGAGAGAAATTTCATCTCTTGCTTTGACGTCATTCGTCGGTTAAAGAAGAGACGAGAGATAAGTGACCAGAATACAGCCCCTGGTCTGGTAATCCTGCACTTTCAATAATATGGTACCACTTTGCTCCCATTGATGCCAGATTAACAAGTTTCTACTGTATATTTAAAAATTATTGACATAATAAACATGCCAGTAAAAATACTTCATAGCAAGATTCAATTTGCAAGGAAATCATCAAAGATGTATTTTAAACAGACACACTAATCATTAACATAGACTCTAATGTCTAGATTATTAATGTTAATAAAAAAAAGTTATATTCACTCATACATTTTCATAAATATTTTTACTCGGCATTTAATTTTTATACTTTTTCAATTATTAGTATATTTCAGTATACTTATTCATAGCAGTCATTATTTGAAAAGAAGCCTGAACATTTTAAATTTTAATGAAATAAACACAATGAAATAAAAACCTTAATATTACATAAAAGATCTAATTTTTAGTTTAAATACTTAATTACACATAATTATAAATACCTGTTGATTCTGATTTTGTGACTGTGTATATCCACTTAATGGTGTTGAATGTGTTCTTTGTTCATATCCAGATAGCTGAGAACCAGGAGAATCTTGTTGCATTACATATTGTGGCGTTCCCTAAAAAAATTCACAATCAATGAATTTAAATTATTAATGTTATTTGTGAATTTTAATTTGTGTAAAAATTTTATTAAAAAATATGAAAATTTATACTAAGCAAGTTAATAAATAATCTAATAACTGAATGATAAGAAAATGAATTTAAATAGTAAAAAGCTCTATTTTATTTTTCAAAAATTTATAAGGTAATGCAGCAAACTGAAAGGGGTAGCTATTTGTTCACAATATTACAAATGGAGAACCCACAGGATAACAAATAAAATTATAAGTAAAATCAAATTAAATTTTATTCAAAATTGAAAAAATCTTAATTCAAAATCTTTCATTTCAGACTGCACATTCTGTCTGAAATGTTGTGTACACTAGATAAGTATGTAAAAAATTAATGTATTACAGTTGGCCCATGCCCACCATAAAGATACATGTGTTCTTTAGGCAAATGCTGCTTTAACACCCCTAATCAAAATTGAATAATGTTTTACATAACACCTTTAGACATTTAAAACATTTTATTTCTATATAATAATGTTATAAACATAAAGGAATATAATTATTATCACCTTACTGTCCTTTAGTTTCTTAATATATATTTTTTGTCAACTTGGACATTAATTTTTAATGTCCAAGTTGAAAAAAATATATATTAATAAAGGAATATAGATCTATGTATGACAGCCAGATGGCTAGGCAGTGAAGTGTCAACCTATCACTCTGAGGGACCTGGAATCGAATCTAGCTAGTCAAAACTTTCCAAAATAAATTTACCATGGATGCAATCTGCCCCAGATGCATCAGACCCCAGCCCTCACCACCCAGCTACCTGACTATAGTTCTTCCCATAGTGACCTTCTCATTCCCCAGTACATGGTCTTAATTGATATTTAAAATAAACACTCTCTCTCTCTCTCGCATGCATGTGCAAGCACACACATGCATAAGAGAGAGAAAAATACCCCTAATTGGTCTTCAATACACACTAAATGATTTCAATATGCATTTCCCAGTGTTAAAGTATTCATACAATATATATTTGCAATATAAACTACATAACTTCTCTGTTTGTGAGTTTAGCTTCAGCTCTTGAACCTAATATTGTTTGTTTTATCATCTTGAAAATGTGTAACAATAAATTTTAATAATCATAATTCAAAATATTCCATTGTGAAATATAGATCATATATTAGCCACCACAATAAAATTACTTCACAAACAGAGAAATTTTGAAGCTTTTACTGCAAATAAGTATATTGTATGAATACTTTTTATACTCACTGTAGTTTTATTATTATTGAATAATATTATCTATTACATAATTTTAGTTCCGTTTCTAAGCATATAAGTTGTTAAAGATGTTTGCATGTTGATGGTTGCATGATATGATATGATTTAAATATTAAATTTGTTAATTGTTTTTGCAGAAAAACATAAAACTACATATATTCATCTTTAGCTACAATAATAATTCATTTGTCAAATAAAAAATGAAGGATTATTAAACAAAAGAAAGAACAGTTTTTTTATTTCTTTCTGATGGTTAGTTAATGGAATTGGAATGTATGGTACAAGTACCTAGGTAGGCCAATTATTTTTTTGATTTTATAAACAAACAAATATCAAACAAGCATAATCAATTTTTAAAATATCCAAGACAGCTAAATGTTGAAATAAATGATTCTCAGTAGAATAATGTTTAATAATGTGAGACAATATTTTTGAGATATTTTAAAGTATTCTATGATAATCTAGTTTACTTTTTAAAAAATTTTTAATTAAATTTTTTTTTCTTAAGAGGTGAGGCATTGTGCATACCAAACAGTAGTGCATAAAGCTTCTAAAATGAGAGCAAGAGATGTCTCCAAGCTTCTTCCTTGAGAATTATATTTAGCATCAAGCTACTATAGCTTTAAACTGTGTCTGTGAGAATCTGTGCTTTATGTCAATTTATTTTGTGAATCTGTTTGCAAAAAAAAAAAATTTATAAAAATGGAAAGTGTATTGCTTGAGTGGATTGATGGAAGTAAAAAAAAAAAAAACATAATGTTCTGTTATCTTTACTTAAGAAAAAAAATCAACCAATCTTTTCAACAATCTCAAATAAAATAAAAATTCATTGGATGATGGTGATTGATGTCCACTTTCAAAATACTTTCTACAGAGATGGGTTTGATCAGTTTTTCAGATGAGGGCAGTTACATAGCTTAATGGCTGCTTACTAGAGAAAGTACTTCTGATGTAGTTTCACTAACTACATTTCTACTTTATATAGGTTGTTTATTTATCATATTATTCCTGCTTTTACTGTGTATTAATATTATTTTAGGTTTTTATTATATGGGTATGATTTACTATGTTAATTTTGAGTCTGGGAAAGCTCAAAATTTCTCCTATATAAATTAATAGTAATTTCTTCTTCACTTTATGCCATTTTGGTTTACAAAAGGTTCCACAGGAATGCTCTACTTTCAGACAGCAGGAAAAATCTGTATACAGTAAATATCAATCTAAAACAGAATCCAATAGTACTACCAGAATTTTCTCTTTTGATAAGTTTACATTTTAAAGAGGAATGTGTTTTTATTAATAATTTTAGAAATTAGGGAATAAATAGTAGTATTGCATTGTCACAGCTACTTTCAAGACAAAACTACAATACTAACAAAAAAAAAAACCTAACTCTCATCACAAAAAAATGGACCATGATTTAAGCAAAAAATAGAACATTATAATTTATAATTTAGCTGTTCTTATGCTAAAAATTTTTCTTTATCTAGGTTATGTTACAAATTGACACTGATTTCAAAAAGTTTTCTGTTTTTAAATTTGGTAAGGTTTCTGGCTTAAATTACTTTACAGAGCAAATCATTCTTTTCTATGATTTATTCTCCATTTAAGTGGGTTTCCATTTTGTAGAGAGTCCATTTTAGATTGTATTTATTATGACATTATTAAATGATTAATAAAATATTAGATTTATATAAAAATATTACTTCTTGAAAAATTTTATAATTTACATAAAGTGAAATATAAATAAATAGATATTCAAATTATTTTTCTGTCTATATTTACAGATTTTATAATGTTCATTTTTTTAATTCAAAGCATAATACCAGAAATTAATTATAGTTATTTTAATTACATACATGTAAGTACAAGAATAATAATGATAGATAAAAGACATTATAATACTAAGAAAAAAATATTTTTTATACTGTTAAATTGGACAGGTTATATTATAGTTCATTTATTTCAAGATTATATATATAAGGGAAAAAACATTTACCAGCCGATATCATAAATAAAATGACAAAATTAACAAACATAACTCTGTTCTATTCATAAATTGTTCTTTTAAAAAAATGACAAAGCATAATCAAAATTTGATTAATATATCTCTTATTACTACAAATTATTGAAAAGTATTGAATCTGTCTAATTTTTAATTAAAAATAATGAAATGAATTTAATTGCCTTTCTTAAAAATATCATTTGTCTTATTTTTTCCTCTTAAATGATTTTTCTGTTCTCTTAACATTACAAAATTAAAAATAACATTTTTAAGCATGGTTAAAAAATGTAATTGAAAAAAATAGATATTATATGCAAACTAATACATCTGTTTTTCTTTAAATTATATACAAAACTATTCTCATTTAGAAAATAATTTTATGCATAACAGAGTATAATAAATGCATAATAACTAAATATCAATTAACAATAATGCCAACATAATTAATATTTTACCATAAAATTTATAATAAAGACATAATTTTGTGAAAATAGTTTTAAATATAATTTTAAAAATTTATCAACATGTAGCATGTCCACTTATATCTATCATAAGATAAGAGAGATATTTTTAGCATAGGTTAGGTCAGATCAGATCAGATCGTGGACTTCAGGGGAAACAAATATATTAGATATGTTTCCGTGACATGCAACCATTTTGCTGCTATCTGCACAACATACAGAGTATGCCACACAGTGATTTGAGTGATGCGACGTAATGTTAACTTTACAGCATGATGAACTGCAACTCCTTCAGCACATTTTATGGACTGTCAGGGTACTGTTTTCCTGAAACAGAGTGTATAGCCATCACCATGGAGCATCACTGGAGAGTGTGTGCTCCATGATGCACATGACATATATGATACCAAATGAATTTTATTCTAAGCATCTTTGTGGGATTTAGGGTGGTAGATTCTTGTCTCATATTCATCTTGAATAGTGATTGATATATGAACATCTTAAACAGATCATGAATATGTTGATGATTTACAATTGGCACAACTGCAGCAGGTTTGGTATCAGCACAATGCCATACTAGTGCATTCCTGGACAGATATACAATTAGTGCATTAGTGGCTTGTAGAATGGTTTAGCAACCACTGGTTAAGACAGCATAGCCCTGTTTCATGCCCAATTTCCCAAATTTGGCCCCTCTGGATAATTTCTTGTGAAATCTAAAAGCATCAGTATATGATGTATACTCATCAGCACCATGATGATGGTGAAGTGGAGAGATGCATATGAGACATCTTAGACCAATGCTTACACCAGGAATGCCATATGTCCTCTGTAATGCCATGCTCAACTGTCTACATCAGTGGTGAGCAACCTTTTCTGGATATGGGTGTAAGTGAACTTCATAGGCATTTGATAAGATGCATACATTTTTTCTAAAAGTTGCAAGCTTTAAGCCTGCTGAATACCATAGACTGTAACAACCAGTACATTATATACTAAAATAATAGAATGTTCTTCATTACTAATATCAACTTAATTATAGTTGCAAAAAGGCACAAGGCAGAAAATAAGAAAATGAAAATTACATTGCTGAACCCATTGGGGCCACAAGTTTCTCGTAACTGATCTATATCTTTGTATTGTTTTGAGCATGCTCTATAACAAAATAAAGCTCACTTTTTGTATCATTTTTTACAATTTGTAATGACTGGGTTGATATTAATATTAAAACACTCACCAAACCAGAAAAT